CGCCCCTCCAGAATCGGCCCCTCCAGAATCGGCCCCTCCAGAATCGGTCCCTCCAGACTCAACTCTTCCAGACTCGGCCCCTCCAGACTCGGCCCCTCCAGCTGAGCAGAGGCCCGGCAGCTCCTCCCCGGCGGTCAGACCTGCTGAGCCTCCTCCTCCCCCCTCCTCCCACACAGAGAGCGAAGCAGCAAGTCTTCTGGAGGAGCTCCAGGAGCTCAGAGAGCCGGTGGGGGTCGCGGGGGGGGTCCGGCCCCCCGACAATGAGGCGGCGGCGTCCGGCTGGCCGGATGCTGCCGGCGAGGCCGGAGCTTTATCGGCCAGCGTTTCTGCCCCCAAAGTGTCCATCCCGGCCTCTGCCCACCACTACTGCTTCTCCCTGGACCTGAGCAGCCTGGGGGGGCTCAGCCTGCCCCACCCCATCAACGCCACGCTCAGGTGAGGCTGCCCCACCCCCAGTAGTCAGGGTCTTGTCTGGGGTCGGGTCTGGGTTAGGATCAGGGTCGGGTCAGGGTTGGGTTATGGTCGGGTTAGGATCGGGTTAGGGTCTGGGTCTGATCAGGGTCAGGTTCTGGGTTACGGTCTGGGTCAGGGTCTGGGTTAGGGTTAGGGTTAGGGTCGGATCAGGGTCAGGGTCTGGTATGGATCGGGGTCTGGGTTAGGGTCGGATCAGGGTTTATTTTTATTTTTTAATTTATTTAATCATTAATCATTAATGAACAATCTTATACTTCTGTACAGATTGTAAATGAGCCAGATTATAGCATAGTTGCTAGTTTACATCTGTCGTCCTGAGGCAGGATCAGTGTCAGGGTCGGGTCAGGGTCTTGGTCGGGTCAGCGTGGTCTGGGTCAGGTCAGGGTCGGGTCAGGGTTTTGGTCCGGTCAGGGGTCAGGTCAGCGTGGTCTGGGTCAGGTCAGGGTCGGGTTAGGGTCAGGGTTATGGTCGGGTTCTCCCCCTCCCTTTGGTTTCTGGAGGGTTTAAAAGCTGCTAACTGACTGATGTCTCCTGGTTCTGGTTCTGGCCCACCTGGGCCTCAGGTACCGGTACCGGTTCTTCGGCAGCTCCGCCCCCATCAGCACCAGCCCCCCCGTGGAGCTGCACCGGGGCACCGAGATGCCCCTGCCCCAGTCCTTCTGCGCCTTCGACTTCGCTGCCCCCCCCCAGCAGCTGCAGGACACCTTCCTACGGTAGCTGGTTCTGGTTCTGGTTCTAGTCCTGGTTCTGGTCCTGCTCCGGGTTCTGGTTCTGCTCACCGTGTTGTTGTGTGTCTGTTGTGTGTCTGTTGTGTGTCTGCTGTGTGTAGCGTCCCCCTGCTGGTGGAGTTGTGGCACCGGGGCTCCTGCAGCCGGGACGAGCTGATTGGTCGAGCCTCCATCCAGCTGTCCCGGCTGCTGGGCTCTGATAGGACGATGG